GGGCTATCTTTTATTTTGGGCTGTTCTATTCATTTTCTTAGGACCAAAACTTTGTTCTGGTATTAGGTAAAAATGTAGAACTTGAAAAATTGAACCTCCCCATCACCAGATATTTCAGTTGCTGGTTTAAGAGAAGTTCAGGAAAACTCTTTATATTGGACTCACATATTAAACAGTTCCAGCACTTACCTGTTTGCCCCGATGCCCTGTTTCCATTGATGACAACTTACATGGCTAGTGGCAACCAAATTAACATATATTAATAATGTGGGTTAGCATTGAGAGGGAATTTACATCCCATTTTTCACCAAGTTTGTGCAACTGACATGTTACCTGAAAAATGTTCTCCTTGTTTATACCTCCCTAATTAATACAAACCACTTCCTCTAAAACAGGACCTTCATTATATCACAATTGTTTAATGTGTTTGGAGTGCAATTACTGTTTTTAATACCTTGAGGAGTGCAATAGCATTCTTTCACACAGTAAAGAAGTAATAATATTAAAGTTGCTAGTTTATTTCAAAAATATTTTTATCAAAATATTTTCTTGAAAATGTGCTATTATTCTATAAGTTCGTCCTATTGCACTTCAATAATTATCACATTGAAAGCTTATAGAACATGATTTTCGTCATTAAAGAATATTACGCTCTCCTTTCTGTATTCCATGGGTTAAATTGTACATTTGAAACTTTGCAAACAAAATATGTTTCAAAGGAATCCAGTTATTTTTAAAACTTCAAAATTTCATGAAGACTGCAGATTTTTTCTCTCTCTCTTGGTTTGTCTTCAAACTTGGCAGCAAACCTTCCTTGTTCCATGAGATGTTTATGTGAGAACATTTGAGAAATATATTTCCATCATCCACGGCGTATTTCCAATTAGGTTTTTGGCACTTAAACAAAATATGCTTTGTGCACATTTTTGCGGCTGGGCAAAAGCTAAATAGAAGTACTGTGCTTTTGATCTCTTTAACTTTTACATTCAATTGTTAATTTGTTTTTATTATGAAGCAGAGTTAAAGAATGTTGAATTGTTAGCCTGTTAACAAGGGACCCCCAGATGCACAAAATCAACCTTAACTGAACAACTCTAGGAAGGCAAGCGAAAAAAAAGACTGACGTAGCTCGTGGCTCTATTACTACACGATTGATCTATCGTGGCTTTTCCGCCGTGAGCTAAGTTTTAAAAAAAAGGCTGGAGATATTGTCAGATTGGACAAATGTCCTGCGAGTGACAAGGCAGAATTTTTACATATTTATAGGTGATAACAAAGTACAGCTCTGTGGGAATTTTGCCATCAAATAGTTGTCCGGGAAGGAGGAACTTGCTTTGTAGACTGTCCAACTGGCTGGGGAAAAAATAATGAACGTTTATCATTTTATCATACAAGATGCATTACTTTACATTTAGTGTTAAGAAAGTAGAGTTTTTAAATCTACTATAAAAGGATTCATGCTATTGGCTTGTGGCTCTGCAAAGCTCTGTATTGAAACTTTTCAATTTCTAAATTGGGATGTTGATAATGAATGTTCATCAAGTGTCCTCCCAGAGTGGAAGTCGCTATAGAAATGCGAGTTGTTGTTGTTAATACATTATTAAAGAAGAATTTCAATTTGTTTTGCACGAGAAGCTTTGTAACCCTTCCACTGGGTACTTTCAATCTGGGCAGCCAAATGGTGGGAACTCAAGTAAAACAGACAGTGTCCTGGACTACTTCAATAAAAAAATGTACCTGTGTGTTATTCAGAGATGTAATATACTCACTTTGAACCATTGGGTATTAATGGGCCAAATGAAGAAAATGTCCACTATTTTCAACAGACTGAAATAGCATTATTGATTCTGATGTTAAATTTCGACCTGCGCTTAAAAACTACTGGAAATATACTTGTTGAACAATTTCTTTCATCACATGTTCTTCAGATTATAGTTCAGATTGTACTTCACATTTATAGTTAAAATGGAACACTGAAGACCACCATGAGATTAAGCCTTGTATGTTTATAAAGTTTGCCGCTTTTGTACTGTGCGAGTGAATGGGTTCAATATTATTTTGTGGCTTAGGGCCTGAAATCATTTAGCATTTTGCAGTGGTGTCATGGTGCAATAGCAACACATCATTGGTGGGCAGCATTCTCTTCTGTTATCCTACCCATAACATGGAATTCAATGAAGGGAATACAATTATGGTCTGCCATCTGTACCTTTGAATAGCTGAGAACTCCCTGCATTGTGTCATTTTGCTTCTTGCTATTTGTCCTCCAGATAGGAAATACACATTTCCGCGGCATTCAGAACCATCTCCTCACCAAAAATCGGCCGTGATGTGACACTGATGTGACACACAGATATTGATTTAAATTAAATTACGTTACCATTCAGATTTGTGAATTTGCTAATAATGTTTTATGTTATATTGCAGTGATTTTAACACTAATGCAAAATGTAAATATAATTTCTACTGAGTAAATTCAATGTGGGATTTTATTATTTTTATTAAAATGTCCCACTTATTTTTGTTTAAAAACTAGAGTTCATGTTTTGCAAAAATGTTCATTGCTGAAATAGATCAGTAAATTCATATTCTTATTAAAGTATAGGAATGGTTATATTTACTATCTTTTAAATTTATATTTCTACATTTGTTTAAATATATTTTAACATTAAATCTAAATAATATTAATATTTATTATTATTAAATATATTTTTGGTTTGTGTTAAGCAATAGTTCTATTTAAATATTAAAGGTCTGATTTAGTGCTTTTGGCACTGGCACTAATTTGCAGATTGCACAAGAGAGAAAATGTATTTTGTGTTATTTGTGAAATACATACAAATAAAAGCAAGTTATATTCCAAGGGGAATAAGCACAAATAATTGCTTTTATAACCTTCCCTCAGAATGAGACGGCAATTTTGTTTAGCTGAGATATCTCTATTTATATATTTGGAAACACTGAATACTCAAAACAGTAAGATTATCCACTAACCACAGGTCTGTTGTCTCTTTATATATCATCTAACAAAAATATTATAATTAGTTGAGGAAGGCAAGGGAAAGGTTTTGTTTCAATTTTTGAGTTGGATCAGTTTTCTGATTTGTTTATTTATTTTGCACAAGTTTAATACAACAAAGCATTATATTTTCTGCGATGAAACACGATAAATTTGCACTGTAATTGCTGAGTAAAGCATCACCGTCACTGGAATACTGTGTAAATATTGTACCAATGTAATCCAGGCTCTGTTTCAATGTTGTTTGTTTAAATGTATTAAAAGCATTTTACTCCTATTCTTTTAACTTGAAGAACAAAAATGTTCATTGCTCAAATATAGAGTTGTAAATTCATATTCTTATTGAAGTTAATAATAGAAATGTTAATAAATGTACAAGCTTTATTCATCAGTTTGTTTGAAATATGTAGGTAATTCCAACCAATTCAATTGAAGGAAAAATATATTTGTATATATTGGTGCAGGTTGTTTCATAAAATGCAATTCTACTGAATCATTCAATTTCTGTCCTTCAAGAAAAAATGTGGCAGTTTATTTATTAACATTATACTGAGATAAATCTTCGAATTTAGATTGACAGTCCGTGAATGTGGAAAAGTGAAATGAATTACTTGGATTTAGCATTATTTCTTAGCAGATAAACTGTCCACTTGGTAACTGCAAATGGAAGTTTTTTTCTTATAATGCACATTTTAAGGGATAAAAAGAAAAAGGTATGTAAATGAACTGCATTTGTTTGTATTCAGGACAAATACACTCATCTTTCAGCACATTCTGCTTCATACTGAAATGATGGCTAAACGTATATGCACTCTTCAAACAAGGTAAACTGCACAAATACTGGCTTTAAATACAATTATTACTGGTTATAAAATTAGGATATTTGGATTGCCTTCAATGTGCTTTACTACAAGGAATATAAAAATAACTAAAATTACACAGCATTTGGGCCTAATCTTATGTGTTTTTAATGTTATTTTTTAAAGCTAAAAGAATAATCTGTGTGCAAATCTACTTCTTGTTACAATGCCACTTTTCCCAGCTATATTGCACTCAACTGCACGACCGTTTTAAATAAAATTTCTATTGGTGTACTTACAGGTTCACTTTGGCAATCTTTTTGCAAATGCACAATTCAATGTTTACACATACTGAAATAATCTCATTCATTTCTACTTTTGCACAAATAGACCTTTTGTAACTTCAGGAAATTGCAACTGGACTGTCTTCGGCAAACAATTCTGATATCTCTCCATATATAAAAAGTTATACAACAAATTTATTCCCCCAATATCAAGATGATGTATCTATCTATGATAGGTCAAATTCAGACAATTCTGTATTGTTTGAAATAATGTAATACAAAACTATGTATGTGATTTATGTACAAGGAAAATGTAATAAATATAGTTCACTTAAGTTTAATAACCATCATATTGATGCGATTTTGTGCCATTTAATGCCATGTGGTTATCAATGTAAATATGTAGGAATAAGATGAGCTAGCATTTTTTTAAAATTAATTTGAATACATATTGTTTTATAATGGAAGTGTATAACAAAACAAAGTAATTAGACGGAGATCTCCAACCAATTTTCATGGGAGTCCAAATTTGTGCCATGCACTACAGTGTAATCCAGCAAAACACAAAACAAATATGATTCATTTAAACTGGTCTGCTTGTATGAATTAAGAAAATTACCAATTATCTTTATAAAACAAACTGTAAAAACAGTATTATATCTAATGATAAGAGCATAGATCTGTATGAAAGGAAACTAATTCAGCTTGTACTAAATTAGTATAACACTCCATTGTGCACAGAGCTTAGGTTACATGGAGACATCCCTAACTATAGGGGAGGGGGACCTTTGGAAACGTGCATGAAAAACAAGAGAGATAAAGAGATAGAAACCCTGTCTGTATAAATTCTGATATTCATTGTTTTTTTAAAAAACATGTTCAGAAAATCCAGGCAAATTTAAAAATTCTAATAACATTTATTTTGTGACAATCTGATAGGTAGCACTTTACAATTTTGCCATTACTGTAAATAATAATGAGCAAAAGATTAAGCAAGTAGTTATAAACAGAGCTGCTGTGGCAACACCGCAATTTTTTTCATGTAAACCAAAGGAAATATTCATGTCCCATATGATTTTGATGAACAGCTCAAAAGGATAATTAGACCAGGACTTTTCACTATCGTTCTTCCCATCTCGCGCACTTGCTTGCCCACCAAATGTGAAGTGTTCGCCTGTTCCCTCAAATGTGATGGTTGTTGAACTTATTTTTAGTGTCATTTGATAAGCTTCTCTGCTCGCAGAGAGACATCCCACTGACCCAGCCACTGGTCATTGTCTATACCAGTTCACATCAAAGTAGGCGCGCTTTGTCAGGTTTCGACTCGAATATCCATTTTGCATCTCAAGTACAGTATCGAAAGTGACTGCATCATTCGAGCTTTTTTTCAGCTGCTGCTTTTTTCTCCCCCACAGTGTTTCCGCTCACACTGACATCATTTGGGATTGTCGTGTTGACAAGACGGTTGGAAAATATTGCATTAAATATATTATTCCTCAATATTTGGGAAGGGGCTACAAAAGGAATAAAAAACTTGATATTTTGGCTAGAAATAGGGTACCTATTTCTCTATTGTATATAACCAGTGTAAAGTACCTTTTAAAATCCAAGCAAAGCAGATACGGTAATAGGTCATTCAATGTCAAAAGGCATAAAAAAGATGAGCAAAATCTTCACAGGCTGCTGCTTGCTGTTGCCTTTAATTATATTAATTAAACTTTGAAATTCTCATGCAAAGAGAGTTGCTGGCTTGTGACACTGCCGAGCCCTTGGAGATTTGAAGAATGGGAGAATACCAGCATACACAACCTTGGGTTGTAACAGGACTGCTCCGTTCTATTTTATTTATTTCTTTGTTTAATAAAAGTAAGCAGATCAGTGAGTGTGCCCTAATATGATGACGTTTTATGCGCTACTGAACACAAGACCAGAGGAATGGCAAAACACCAGCCACTATCCCAGGGCCTCCGAACATCACCGTCTCAATTTCTGCAGAAGATCTTTGGTTATAGGCTGTGCTGCTATAAGATAACGCTCTATTAATTCTCTTTCCCTGGAACATAATGAAAGAAAGGTGTCTTCAAAAACTAAAGGGCAAAGTCTAGCTGATTCCTATACCTTGGGGCATCCTGTCTACATTTTGTCATGCGTGTGCACTTTTCAGTGGAAAATGACAAGATTTACAGTCAGAAGGCTCCCGTAAGGCATTGTAAAGTGGTGAAGTTGGAAAGATTTTGTGATGTGACATCGCCAAAAGGCAATGAACTTTTGCACTGAGTAGGCCTGGTGGGATTGCTGCTCCGCCTGTGGCTAATAGGCTCTATTTTGACAATACACTCTGTCTGTAAAATTTGGTTATCCAAAACAGCACACTGTGGGCAAACCACAATCGCACTGGAAAGAAAGTTCTAAGTGACCATAAAATGGTAAGAATTGATGGATTTTCTTGTGTGCTTGTTTTGGGTTTCTGCCGTTGCTGAGGTGTCATTACACTGGGTGTGTTAATTGCGGTGAAAAGCAGATAGAGAGATCATCCGTGAAGTTATCTCGGTATACTTCTCGTAGCGGAGTACTGAGGAAGGAATGTTCGTCATTCCAGCTGCAGTTTTGTGACAAGAGCAAATCCAAAGCACAGCAGAGATGATTTATTTCATATATTAGAAGAACCTTTTGCGTAACGTGGTAAATATCCATTAAGAGTGCGGATCCCTGCACAGTTCCTCAGCAGGTAATACAGATAATGATGTGACTCAAGCTTCACCGACTTCACTCTCCCTAAACTCGGTTGAAGTTTATGCACCGGCCCTGCAAAGACAGAAACAATAACAGTGAGTAATATGATGTATAACAATACATATTATATAAATAACTAAGAGCTAAAGTGGAACGTAATCATGTTATTAATATATAAATAATTAGAATAGTTAGTATCCTTAAATAAAATACACTAGTGATGCTCCAATTGTAACCAATAACCTGGGTGCAACAGCAATCATTTCCCCAGTTTTACACAACCCCAGAATGAAACCAAATAACTAATTTTATATTATGGTGAACTTTATTTCAGATCCTGTTACATGTAACTTGAGTCTTTAGAACTGATTCTGCTCTTCATTTCATACGTTCCTAATTGTTAGTTATCATTCGATTATATACCTTCAGGCTACGTGACTAAATGCCAAAAAAACTATGAAAATAATAGATAAGCAACTTATAATAATGAAAATAACTTTCAGAAGACCAGGTGGTGCAGAAGGTTATAACATTATATTTTCACCTGAAAGATTATGGGCTACGTTCAGCTCAGATTGCTCAGCTAAAAGTCTCCTTTAATGACTAAGTTGTCAATTGCAACCCAAGGCCTGGAATTCTTCCTAGTGCTAAAATGCACTTTTGGAAAATTCTTAAATTCAGTCATAATTTAAAAGATAGTTTTATTCCATTCTATTTAAGAATTACAGAAAACCGGTTTCCAAATTCTGACTGAAATTAAGATTGTTTTCCAAAATTCCAGGCAGCCCTAAATTGTAAGTCAATGGTATTAATGCTAAGACCATGAACAACAACAAAATTACATGTGTATAGCGCCTTTCACGTCAGGAGGACGTCCCAAGGCGCTGAAACAGTTCAGGCATCTATTTCTAAGTGGATGAGTGTCCACAGCATAAAGGAGAGCTAATAAATGAATATTAAACTACTCGGAAAGACCACAGGGATGCTGCTGGGAGAAGATGGAATGTCACACGGGTGCAGTAGGGGGTGCTCTTTTGGAGTTGGGAGGTCCATGGACTTTAGCCATGGTAAATCTCGCTCAGCGGTGCTTGATGTTCACACTGTTGCTCAAGAAAACAAAAGTCCATTGATCTTCCCTTTGATGAACGTAATATTGATATTCCTGAAAAATTCAGAAAGCATGTTTTGGTCTTGTTAAGGATGTGGAATGCTTTTTTCTAATTGTACTCTGAGGGATTTCAGGTATGTACAAAGCCTTGAAAGGGAAGAATTTTAATGAAAGAGCATGTTTTTTTTCTTAAACTTAAATGTTGACATTGTAATCTAATGCAGTACATAAAAACATTATCAGTCTAGTGAACCTAGAAAATCTAATGATAATAATTCTTATATTTGACAAAGCGCCCTTTCACATTGAAAGACGTCACAAAACGCTTCAGAGGATACACTGTAAAGTGAGGTGATTTTGTATTTTGGGGGCAAAATTTGCACACAGCAACATTCCATAAACAGCCATGAAGTGACTGCCCAATTTTATTTGGGGGATTGTTTGCCAGGATACTGGGAGAAACTCCTCAAAATAATGTGTATGCACTTCAGGCATTGGCTTCACTATGGAACTATGTCAAATATAAGGACTATTTTATTAATCTGACATTTTATCCATCATAAAGGTCTCCACAGTTAACAGGATGGAATTTAGTCAAGATGACCAAAGTTATGATGAAGTAGAAGCAGCCAACAGAAATCAAAACCTTATAAATTAAGCATATTGGGAGCCAACAATACTGACAGCTGATATATCGAAGCAGCTTTTTACAATGGTGACTACATTTGAGGTGCTGCAGAAGAACCGAGAACCTTGGCATTATATTTTTGAGCACCCTGTACTCATCCACATAGCATTAGCTTGCACCTGTGATGTATACAGGATTTAAGTGCTTGGATAAACGTATGTAGGATTAGTACTGATTTCTCTTGATTGCAGAAACAAAACAGTTGGGCACTGCCACAAAGGAACAGTACAGAGCATCAGAGACTTAGTTTACAAGGGAGGATACAGTGAGAGAAGAGTCAACAGCAACAACAACACTTTTGAGGTTTATGGGGCAACTGTTTCTTCTTGTTGTTTAGGAATGAGCTTGATGGGCATTTACATAATCTGTCAAATAATAATCCTTGCATTTGATATAGTGGCTTATCTTTGAGATGTCTTCACAGAATATACTGCAAAGTGAATTGTTTGTATATTTTGTGGGAGAAGTAGGGAAATTAGTTTCTACAGATGGTGAAGATGCATATCAAGGACAACAGAGTGAAATTCTCATGTCTGAAGTGATAATTAGGACCATATAACATTGTTGAAAAGTGTTATACCAACATTTCTTTAATTATAAACATGTCTTGAAGTGAATACCACCCATATCCCCACGCCTGGACTGTGCTACAATGGTTTGGCACAGAGCCAGTCAAGTTCTCTGAGGATCTGCCATCCATGATCACTGCATTTCATGGAGTCTAGTCATGGAGTCACACTGAAAGTCAATTTAATATTCCAACTGAGCAAAAGTCCAATCTGTTCCATAAAAGTTATTTTTTACTGGGCATAGTATTCCTGACAAATTATGGACAATCTATCATTAAGTAGATTTTAACTTTTGCTAGTAATTTTAAACGTAATATTTTGGATTTATACATAGTGTAATATTTTTAATTACACACTTAACCTACAGCACCATTTTTATATGGTATGAGGAGGAGAAACACAAAAATCAATATATTATATTCCTATATAGTAATAATCCTTGCATTTGGTATAGTACTTTTCATATACTATGCCCCAAAACTCTGGAACACTCTTCCTCTATTCCTCCCTTCCCCATCTTCAGGTTGTGCTTCCTCTTCAACTGTGCCTACGGTCACTGTCAAGCTCTGGAATGCTACCCTGCCTGAGGGCTGCTATATAAATGCAAGTTGTTGTTGTTAATATCTCAAAATGCTTCACAAGATTTACTGTGAAATGTACTAATAGTGTATTTGTAGACGAATGCGACAGCCAATTTGTGCACAACAATGTCACAGAAAAAGTCACAAAATGAATGACCATGTTGGGAGGATCTCTGGCAGGAACACCAGGAAAACCTCCCTTCCCTTTTTGAGTGGTGCCTTGGGATCTTTAACATCCACCTGAGCAGACAGACCGGACCTCAGTTAAACAACTCATCCGAAGGACTGCACGTCCGACAATGCAGGGTTTCCCCAACACTGCATTGGAGTGCCAGTCTTGTGTTGTGAGTGTTGAAGTCCTGACTTGGGGTTTTGGATGCCCAACCTTCTGACTCAGAGCTGAGAGTGCTAGTAACTGAGCCAGATTGACACATAATACAGGAAAGCTATTGTCGTTGACTCTGTGCAGTAGTTTAAAAACGGATATGCCAGCTTGCTCCAAACCAGGAAAGGATATATTACTAGAATTGCTCAGGAACAGTATCCTATAACTATGGAGAATGGCATTCCAAAGTGCTGCAGATTCTCGGAGATTGGCTCTAGGCAGTCTATCAACAGAGTGAAACATACGGTAGGCTTTCGCTTTCTTCCCACATGCCATTAATCTTCAACAAGAGGAGAATAAAACATGCTCCAGAATGGCATTATGAATCTGACTGAGAACATGTTTTGCACAAGCCTGCAATCGCTGTCAGTTGTACCCAAATTATTTTCCTTCTCCAGATCTACTAATAGTAGACACCTTGATTTTGAAAGTATTTACTCTTTCTTGTTCCTATGTGCATTATCCTGCATTTAAATCTATTTGTCAGCTTTTGACCAGCTGCTTAATTGAACCAGATCCTGTTAAATGCTATTTATATATCCAACTGCTTCCCTGCACAAGTCAGATATTACTGTCAATTCCATTTAACTCAATTGCATTTGGTAAGGTCTTGTGTGGCACCTTATCAAATGCCTTCTCAAAATCTATATCCTCCTTTAACTGTGAAATAACATTGTTTGGATTGAGAGCCAAAATACACCTTTCACAATCCCATGTTGACTCTCCCTGATTTGTGCATATTTATACAGTTACTCTGTGGTGATGGATTCCAGCAATTTTTCCATAATTTATGTTATCGTTACTTCCTTGCTTCTTGAATAATGGAGGCATATTTGCTACCTCCACTTCTCAAATCCAGTGAGCCTTAAAAAAATGTAACTAATTCATCTAGAATTTCTTCACTTACTTCTTTTAAACTATCTGGATCAGGAGATTTATCTGACTTCAGTCCCGCTAGTTCACCCATCAAAATATTAATATTTATGTTAAGACTATTCAGTTTCTCCCCTTCACTAAACTTTCACTCAGTAAAGTTTTCTCTGTATCTCTGGTATCAAATCCTTCTTCTGCAATGTAAATGCAAGCAATATATTGATTAAACATGTCTGTCTTTACCTCTACTATGGTCAGAACTATATGTTTTGGGTCCACCTATTTAACCGCTATCTTTCTCTTGATATAATTCTAAAAAGATTATCTGCAAGCTTTTTATCATATTCCCTCTTTAACCTCCTCATGGCTTTCATGATATCTTTTTGTTGCTACCTATATTCCTCCCAGTCTCCAATCTGGTCAGTATCACTTGTCATTACATAAGCCTTTTCCATCACAATATCCAATATAGCCAGGAGTGGGGAAAGCATAGCCTCCCATGATGGACGACATCTGATTTCTACACAGCCAATTCCTTTTATTATTTTAAAGATCCTATTTGAATGCTTCTTAATGTCCTCAGACCTATGGAATGTAACCCAGATTCCCCAGCCTCTTTTCAAAAATACGAACATCCCATTAATCTTCAATGATTACGTTGATTGATATTGTTAACAGCATTTTATAGATCAAAAGTCTTCATTTTCTTATTGGCTCTAAATTTTGTGAAGCAATTTTTACAATATCTTTTCCTGGTAGTTAGACACACAAAGAGTGACTTGTTTTCTAGGTATTTAGATTGCACTGGAAGGAGGGGAAAAACTAATTTGGCTCATCAAGCACATTACCTTCACAGGTAACACCAAAC